CCACCCAGTACATCGTTTCGTGACCCTTTTGGGAGCTCCACCGAAGGCCCCAGTGGCGGTGTCGCATGCTTCTCCCCCAGCCTGTACAGCGTGTTCCATGGGGAGCTCCCCCGAAGGCCCAGTGGCGGTGTTCGCATGCGTCTCCCCAATCAGTACAGCAGTTCGTTGCCATATAGGGAGCTCCATCGACGATCAGTGGCGGTGTTCGCATTCGTCTCCCCCACCCAGCACAGCGCTTCGTGGCCCCATGGAGAGCTCCACCGAAGGCCCCAGCGGCGGTGCTCGCATGCTTCTCCCCCACCCAGTACAGCGCTTCGTGGCCCCATAGGGATCTCCACCGAAGGCCCCAGTGGCGTTGTTCGCATGCGCCTCCCCCGCCCAGTTCAGCGCTTCGTGGCCCCAGAGGGAGCTCCACCGAAGTCCCCAGCTGCGGTGTTCGCATGCGCCCCCCCCCCCCGCCCCCACCCACCCACGCAGTACAGCGCTTCGCGGCCCCATCAGGAGCTCCACCGAAGGCCCCCGTGGCGTTTCTCGCAAGCGTTTCCACCACTCAGTACCGCGCTGTGTTGCCCCATTGGGAGCTCCACCGACGGCCCCAGTGGCGGTCTTCGCATGCGTCTCCCCCACCCTGTAGAGCGCTTCGTGGCCCCATGGGGAGCTCCACCGAAGGCCCTAGTGGCGATGCGTGCACGCGTCTCCCCCACCCCACCGAATGCCCCAGTGGCGGCCCAGCCCCATCGTGGGTTGCACCTCGAGCCCCAGTGGCAGTGCCCACATGGCGGCCCCGCCCCATTCGCAAACTTCATGGCCCCATGAGGAGATCCCCCGACGTCGATACCCGCAACGACTGCACAGCATTCACAATTGCAAATGGTTTTGTTTGCCCTTCGCCTGGATGATGTTTGAAGACGCTGGAGTTGTGAGTCCTCCTCCTCCTCCTCCTCCTCCTCCTCCTCCTCCTCCTCCTCCTCTCCCTCCTCCTCGCCCTCCTCCTCCTCCTCCTCATCCTCCTCCTATTTCCTCCTAGCATTCCTCCTCCTACTTCATCTCCCCTCGTCCTCGCCGCCTTTGCCCCCACACAGTCGTGCAGAAAGGTCTTATCCCGTCCCAGTAACCCCTCCTCCCACATCCCTGCCGACTGGTACTACGCAGCGGCATTCGGCCTATCCCGCCTCCGCGCCCTGGCTGTCGGGCAGAGGCCTTTCGGATGCCCGTGGGGATCTCTTGGGAGGCTTCCTGAGGAGCCTCTTGGAGGCGTCTTCGGGGGCCTCTCGGGGGCCCTGAGGAGCCTCGTGGGACATGTTCTGTGTCTCTTGGAGGCATCCTGGAGCTTAGGGGGGCATAGTGGTGGTCTGCTGACGGCCTGGGAAGTCATCTTGAGGCGGAGAGCACGAGGTGTCAGTTCGAGTTCCCTCTCTTAGGGGCCGTTCTGGAGGCCTCTTGGACCGTCTTGGGGGCCTCTCGGGGGCCTCTCATGCTGTCTTGGGGCGCTCTTGAATGCCTCCTGGGCTGTGTTGGAGCGTCGGAGGCCATTAAATATGGAAACGATGACATCCTTTGAACACTATGGAAATCAATGATCTGGGCATCTTGGTACCAACTCGGGGCACTTGTTGGCCATCTTGGGGGCCTCGTGGTGCCCTCTTGGCCCGTCTGGGAGCCCTCTCGCCCCCGGAAAAGTCACGCGGACGCGACAAGTTCCAACGCTCCATTCAGTTCGAGTTCCCTCTCTTAGGGGCCGTTCTGGAGGCCTCTTGGACCGTCTTGGGGGCCTCTCGGGGGCCTCTCATGCTGTCTTGGGGCGCTCTTGAATGCCTCCTGGGCTGTGTTGGAGCGTCGGAGGCCATTAAATATGGAAACGATGACATCCTTTGAACACTATGGAAATCAATGATCTGGGCATCTTGGTACCAACTCGGGGCACTTGTTGGCCATCTTGGGGGCCTCGTGGTGCCCTCTTGGCCCGTCTGGGAGCCCTCTCGCCCCCGGAAAAGTCACGCGGACGCGACAAGTTCCAACGCTCCATTTCGTGCATCGCGCCACGGTGGCGGTTTATGCGAAGCATCCGCTTAAACCTCACAAGTGCATGTTCAATGAACCCGTATCAAACTACAGTGCGGGCAACACGCGCGCGCGCCCCCCGCACCCGCATGTCAAAACCATTGCAAAGCACGTGACCCTCTTGGCATGCCAAAATAGTGCATTACGCTACCGAGGAACCCCACATACTTATATTATGGCTGGAGAGATGATAGCTGAAGTGAAGCATGTGAGAATGATGCTGGTGGCCCTTCCCTGCGCACCCCCTATGGTGCGAGAAAGTGCCACGCCTGCCATGCCCTGCGCCATGGCCCACATAGACGCCGCGCTCGGGGACCAGCCCCATGCGCACCCCGTTTGGTGTCGAGAAAGTGCCACGCTTGCTCTGCCCTGCGCCATGGCCCTGATAGACGCCGCGCTCGGGGACCACCCCCTTGCGCACCCCCTATGTTATCGAGAAAGTGCCACGCCTGCTATTCCCTGCGCCATGGCCCGCATAGACGCCGCGCTCGGGGACCACCCCCTGCGCACCCCGTATGGTGTCGAGAAAGTGCCACGCCTGCTATGCCTTGCGCCATGGCCCGCATAGAGGCCGCGCTCGGAGACCACCCCCTTGCGCACCCCCGTTGGTGTCGAGAAAGCGCTACGCCTGCTATGCCCTGCGCCATGGCACGCATAGACGCCGCGTTCGGGGACCACCCCCTGCGCACCCCGTGTGGTGTCGAGAAAGCGCCACGCCTGCTATGCCCTGCGCCATGGCCCACACAGACGCCGCGCTCGGGGACCACCCCCTTGCGCACCCCGTGTGGTGTCGAGAAAGCGCTACGCCTGCTATGCCCTGCGCCATGGCCCGCATAGACGCCGCGCTCGGAGACCACCCCCTGCGCACCCCCGATGGTGTCGAGAAAGTGCCACGCCTGCTATGCCCTGCGCCATGGCCCACGTGCGCGGCCGTATCGGGACGTGTGCCTCATGTGTGTGCCCAGTATGTACGCATACATCGTGTGTGTGTGTGTTGTGTGTCTGTGTGTGCGTGAGGAGAGGGAGAAGGAGAGGGAGGTGGGTGGAAGACGCGGGTGCGACGCGGCAGAGAAGAAAACCAGAACCCCACGAAACATGTGGGGGAAAATAATGCATTCCAAAAGTATGAAAAACGTGCGTTCCGCTGAACAGCTTATTCGAGTTTCTATACATCGTCTTCCATGAAGGTACTAGATGCGTTGCTGGTTCTGGAATCGCGATGTGGTCAGATATCAACTTGACGATTCAGATCCCGACCAGACGGTTCAGATTCCAACTGGTAAGAAAACCTCAGCGGTTCAGATCCCCACCGCCGGAGAAAGCTCTGTTTAAAGTTGTTATTGCATGGCCGTCTTGGCAATTGGAAAGGACTGGTAAACCTTGAGGGAACTCACTCGGTTTTCCTAGTGCGCAGTTGGGAGCTTCACCGTTCCATTACCCTAGGGTATCCGAGTTCCCATTTTTCCAGGACGGCCTTGCGTATATACACGATGAAACGTACATAAACCGCGTACGAAGCATAGACGGAACGTGGGTGAAACGAAAATGCACGCAATTGAAAATATGTATGACACGTAAATGAAGCATACAGGCAACGTATACGAAACGCAACCGACACCTATATTACACCTACATGGGACGTAACATCAAACAATAGAAACATATACAAAACGTATATTGAACGTATTTGCAGCTTATATGAGAGAGGGATCGGCGCATTGACTATTGGACTCCTATTGGGACGGTACATGAAACATAGGAAAGAATTTTGCGGGAGGCTGGGATCGGCGCGTCTGCTGTTGAATTCTGAGGAATCAAGGCGGAATCTTCCGGAATCCTGACGAGCCCTCAAACACCAGCAGGAATCTTTCATGGAAATCAGCAGAATTTCTTTTGGAAATCAGGATTCCTCTGGAATCCCCCAGAGTCCCATAGAAGTCGTGAGGAATCCCCAGGAATTGTTGGGGAGCCTGGGAGGAACCAACAGGAATCCTTCACGAAATCGACAAGCATTCAAGGGAGCGATTGCGCAGCGCCTTTCAAGCGCCTGTGTTGCGCCCAGCAGAAGCGCCTATATGTAGCGCCGACCCAGCGCCTACCAGGCGCTTCAGGCGCTCAAACAAGAGTTCCTTGTTCATTACTTTCTGGGATCCGAACCGTCCAGTTGGGATCTGAACCGTCCAGTTTGGATCCAAACCTCTCTCGGGCAATCTGTCGGGCGACGCGGCCTCCCGTGGCTTCTTGTTGCTTCCAGGTGGCCTGCCGCTGCCGTCCAGTACCGGTGTCCTTGTAGCCCTAGCCCTGGATCCTTGCCTCGGTCCTTATCCGTATCCCTATCCCGATTCCCCCATCGCGTCCCCCATCGCAATTGTGTACAAGTGCTTCTGGGCTTTCTCTGCAAGGGCGCCATGATTGTTCAAAACGATCAGGACTGGCGTGCCTGCACTCACTTTCGAAACTTGTTTAACGCATTAGAACCTGCGTGCTGCTGCCAGTATGTCAAAGAGGCCGTTCGGGCAACACGCGCGCGTCCCCGCGCACGCAGGTCGAAATCGTAGCAACACCGCGCAGTTGATCTAGATTGTTCAAGATAGAGGTGTTCAAACACTTATGGGGAGCTGCTTCTCCAGTGGAAGAAAATGTCGCATTTCTGCGCTCGCGCATTTCCTCGTCATCCTCAACACCAGGTCGTTATCATCCCAGCGTCGTCGTTACCACCGTCTTATAGTAATCACCAACATCTCCATCACCGTCGTCGTCACCACCACCGTCGTCATCATCATCAGCATCAGCATCAGAACCATCATCATCATCATCATCATCATCATCATCATCATCATCATCATCATCATCATCATCATCATCATCATCCTCATCCTCATCCTCATCCTCATCCCCATCATCATCATCACCATCATCATCATCATCATCATCACCACCAAGAGCCATTTTGGCTCGAGCAACGAGGAGGACTTTCGGGAAGCAGCGCGCGCCCCGGCGGTCAGCTCACAGATGGCCTCCGCGGTAGCCGCATATTCCCTCCACTGCGGCAGCCTGGGCGGCCACGAGGTTGCCCACGCTGGCGCCGCGGCTGCTGACGTGGAGGCTCTGCATCAGCAGCAGCAGCAGCAGCAGCAGCAGCAGCAGCAGCAGCAGCAGGCCCTCCTCCCCTCAGATCCGAGCGTTGCACTTTTGTTCACAACGGACGTTTCCGTTCGCCTGGTTTCGGACCCCTGGACCCTGGACTTTTTCAGATCGATCGGGCTCGAAAAATAACACGACACAGAAAGTTGGGGTCTGTGGCTGCGGTCGTCATGTTCCGCGATGTTACCTTTTTTCGGAAGCAGGCCTCCGCCGACCCGGCCGCGCTGCACGAGCTCTACCAGAAGTTCTTGCGGCACGGCGCGATCGCAGGGGAGGCCCTCTCCGCCCCTGGAGACAGAGTGGTGCCCGAGCGGGGCGCCGGTGCTGCAGCTCCGACGGGAGGCGCCCCTCTCGTCCCTGGGCCGCCCTCGCGCTTCGAGCAGGACTTTGAGCGGCTGGAGCTCCTCGGCCGGGGCGCCTTCGGCGAGGCTCGGGGGCGGCAATTAGAGGGGGGCGATGGCTGGGGGGGGGCATACCAGGGTGGAGGCCATGATATCTTCTCAGATCTCATGGCGCCTCTTCTGATTTCAATGCGTCCCCGCGAGGCTCGGGGGCAGCAACTAGAGGGGGGCGATGGCTAGGGGGGGGGGCATACCAGGGCGGGGGCAATGATATCTTCCCAGATCTCATGGCGCATCTTCGGATCTCAATGCGTCCCCGGCCCCCCCGGGGCCGCGCACATGCCGCCGGCCATGAGTTGCCCCCCCCCCTCTTGGACGCCCCCGTCTTGGGCGCCCCCGAGAGGTCTGGCGCTGCCGGCACCGGCTCGACGGGCACGAGTACGCCGTCAAGATGGTCCAATTCCGCTCCAGGGCGTCCGACGGCGACAGGCTCCGGCAGCGCGTGGCGCGCGAGGTGGAGGTCCAGGCCAGCCTGGCGCACCCAGGAATAGTTCGGTACCACACGTCGT